GAGAGAGAGAGAGAGAGAGAGAGAGAGAGAGAGAGAGAGAGAGAGAGAGAGAGAGAGAGACGTTATCATTATTGATGCTGTTTTGTCCCGGATGCTCTGTGCGGAGAACTTACTGTGGCTGGCGTCAGCAGGAGGGCCAGTTGCAGAGTGGACTACTGCTTGCCTCTTTCTTTTACAATTCTCTGCCAAGTTAGCCGATGTTTCCTTCAGTTTCTTTCGTCATTTTCCGTTCGGGACCAGTTTTCATGCTTATGCCATGTAGGATTACTATTCACAAGGACTGGAACAACTGGTCACAACCTGTGTTTTGCCAGAGTCTTCCTGAAGGTTGAGTGAACTCCCTCCCCTCCCAATCTCTTGCTGTGCCTTCCGCATCAACTTCTCAATGATTCCATTACTAAATGCACACCGAAATGAGTCCCCAGATGCAAGATGGGGAACCTCTGCCCACAAACCTTCTTTGGCCAGCGCCCTAACCAGTGCGGCGCAAAGTCCAACGTCCGCACGAAAGCCCTCTCCCTCCATCTTCTTCAACAAGTCTACTGCTTTCCTAAGCCCCCCCTCTCCTCCGCTTGTCCTGACTAGCACTCTAATCACGACAGCGAACAGTGAACCATCAAGACCGACCCCGATCTCAATCATGCGGCTGATTGTTTCGGTTGCCAGGTCGGCTTTCCCTTGGGCAGCCATGAACCTGACAACAAGATGCCACGTCTTTTTGACATCGAGCGTGCTGGCAAAGACTCTATCCGTGGCAAGCTGAAACAAGAAGTCCTTGGCTTGCTCCAACCTACGCCTTCTGACGAGTGAAACAGCATAGCTGTGTGTTGCTGCAGCGCAGGAGATTGGATCTGCACTCTCCATCGTCCTCAGAATCTGGACAGCAAGCTGATGCTGGTCGGCTTTGGCGCAAGCACTCAGCCAACTGCTGAGGAGTGCACGTTGTGGCTGAGATCCAAACCTGACAATGGACCTGTGAACCTCATGAGCAAACGCCCATTCTCCTGTCAGCACACAAGCTGTGAGCATGGCTTGGAAAGTGTAATCATCAGCACTCAGCCTCTCTCTCCCTTTGTGCAGCACCCTCCTCCTAAGTTTTCTCTGCCGAGAAGCTTCTTTTGACTCGAGTCCGCTTGAACTATCTACAGCACTACCTGACCGATTGGGATCTGCAACACCTGCAGGCACACTATCTACACCACTACCTGACCTAAACTGATCGGGATCTGTAGCATCTGCAGACATCCTATCTACAGCATTACCTGACCTGAATTGATCGGGATCTGTAATGTCTGCAGACATACTATCTACAGCATTGTCTGACCCGACCTGATCAGGATCTGTAACGCCTGCAGACGTAAACTCTGCTGCTCCTTGGTCAGCATTTTCAGCCAGGAAGGTTGATGCACCTTCAGCAGCGTCCTCCACCATGCACCCTGCTCGGGCATTTACAGCATTCTGTGTTCTCAAACCTACTGGAATATCTAGATCCTCGCCTTCTGACAAGCACTCTGCCACTCGTTCTGACATGAAATCTGCAGCACCCGCGACACTTTCCAACACAGGCGCTGCGGCATCAGCTGCAGCGCCTTGATGAGATGTGAATGCTGGAGGATCAAGAGCCTGGCTCGCTGATGCAGAGCATTGTGCTGCATCGTCTGACATCCTTCCTGAGTTACCTGCAACATCTTCTGCCACTAGTGCTTCAGGGTCTGCACCAGCAACAAACAAGTCTCGACCCCCTCTTCTAACCCCCTCATACACTTCTTTGGCCTTCTCAAACATCCCCACTCTCCCATAAAGAGAGATCATCAGATTGCACGTGCCTACATTAGGCGGGCAAACACCTTTCTTCATATACTCAAACACTGCTATCGAATCTTGCCATTTCCCTGTTTTCTGACAAGCTCTGATCAGCCCTGTGTAAGTAATGACTTCGTCCTCGTACGTCCAGTCCTTATGAAACTGATTTGTCATCTCGTTGACGATCTGAATGGCTCTCTTCCACTGGCCTGCGGCACCAAATGCGAAAGCTAGTCCGGAGTACACAGTTCTATCGGGAGCGATCCCTCTGCCTGCCATCTCCTCCATTACCCAGAGAGCACCTTCCAAGTTTCCAGCACTGGCACTTGCCCTCATCAACCCCTGATAAATCTCTAGAGAAGGTTCCAGTTTCTGCCTCAGCATATCTTCAAACAACCCTTTGGCAGTTTTCCAGTCACGAGCCCTACTCATAACCTCAATCAACAGGCCATACGTAACAGAATTTGGGACAACCCCTTCATCCATCATTCTTCGAAATATAGATAAGGCTCTCTTCTTCTCTCCGCCACTTGTACATGCATTGAATGCTGCATTATATGTGTGAACATCGGGACCATACATGTCAACAAACACATCGTCAAGATCCTCTCCTCCTCCTCCTCCTCCTCCTGGCCTGATCCCTATCAAGTCATCCTTCTGATTCCTGCACTCTTCCAAGGATGCCACATCTTCAAGCATCAAACTCTCTTGCAGATCTCTTCTTACATGCTCACTCCTCTCCTCCTTTTCCTCTCCTCCTCCTCCTCCTTCGCTATCTTCCTTGTTCCCTTGTCCACTTTCTCCTGTTGTGTCGTTGTGCTCCCCCGCATCGGTCCTTTGCATGTCAGAGCCATGCATGTCAAAAGACTCACCCAACGCATCACCAACCTTTCCTTCTCCCTCTCCTCCACCGCCTCCTCTCATGCCATTCTTCTGATTGCCCGACTCTTTCAAGGACGAGATGTCTTCTTCAGACTCCACACTCTCTTTCAGACCTCTTCTCACAAACTCCCTCCTACTTTCAAGCTTCCCTCTTGTTCCTCCCATATCACCCTCACCTCTTCCTCTCCTTCCGCTCTGCTCCCGAGACTCTCCGGAGGATGACAGACCTTGAATCCTCCTCTCCTCCACTAGTCTCTGCATAAACTCCCTCCTCTCTTCATCCCCTTCCACCCCCCTTTCTCCTTCTCCTCCTCCTCCACCTCCTCCTGTGATACCTTTCTGCTTCCAGTAGTCTTCCAAAGATGACAGATCTTTGAGTCTTCCACTGTCCTTCAGACGTCTACGAATGAACTCCCTCCTCACCTCCTCCTCCTTTCTCCTCATCTCTTGCTCTTTGCTCCTCTCCCTCCTTGCATTTTCCTTCATCTCCTCCATCAAACCCAGGACTCGCTCCGTCTCCCCTACACGTCCTAGAGTCCCCACCACCAAATTATAAAGCTGTGTCCCTGATACACCTTCGGTGTTGAGAAGAATCTTCGCCTTTTCCAGAACTTCTAGAGCTTCTGCAGACCGGCGATGTTTCTTCAGGATTTTCAGAAGTTCCATGTACGTCCAGCTGTTTGGCCTTCGATCAGCAGAAGACCTCCTTTCCATCCATTTCACAAACTCCACTGCCATCCTCCAATCGCCGAGACGACCAAGCCACATCACCACGATCTTGCCCCGCCAAGCTGTCATCTTGAGCCGTCCGTTTCGCACGATCAACGACATTTGCCTCTTCCCACTTCTGCACTTTGCCTCACTTAATCTCTCGGCCAACACTCTAAGCATATCCGCCTCCTTGTACTCCCCATCATCACCCCTTCTACTCTTATCACCATCACTCATCTTCACACCCGAGTCCTCAGCAGTGTCATTCCCATGTTCGCCCCGACCTGCCTGCCCACGTTCACTCCCGGGACATTTGCGAATTCTTTGGCTGTCACGCTTAAGATCTTCACGGTTGCCTTGTCTTTGCTCACTGTAGCTCTTCTTGGACATTCCCCCACCTTCTCTGCCCTCATCTACTCTCCTCCCATCTACTCTCCCCCCACCTTCTCTCCTCCGATATACGCTCTTCCCATCTTCTCTCCTTCCGTCCCTCCCAGCATTTCCAGTTGACGATGAACCGTGTTGCTGGCTATCAACGGGGCCACCACACTTGCTCATCTTCTTCATTCTCACTTCTATTGACCGTTGAAAATTTGTCACACTCCCTACGCCGTTTTTCCCATGCTCCTCCTTCTTTTCCCCTTCCCTCCCCTCTGTGTGCGCATGCCGACTGGAATACTTTCCATGCGGAGGATGGATGAAGGGCACCCTGGAGGAATCCGAAGCGCATGCCGACGATGGCGACCAACTAGGACCCCTTAGACAAATAGTCCTCGATATACCCAAACAGCTGATGATGGAATCGCCCTCTGCTACACTCTTCAAACCCACCCTTCTCCGACCACCTTCCCTACACCTCACCATCGTACTTTCTTGCTGAACAGCCTTCTTCTTTGGTGTCCCTTCTCCCCATCCTTCATTCAACAGGCCCCTGCACCCGTTCATCGACGAACTAGCTGGCCGTCTTTCACAGCCATCAGCTGAACCTGGTCTTCTTCCTTGCGATCTAGCTAACCCTGGCCACCCCCGACATTTTGGCGCACACTCTTCCCTTCTCTTTCCTCCTCCTGCTCGTCTAGTTCCTTCGCTGATATAAAACCGGTTAGGACTTGGAAAGATGAGCATACTGATGTCTCGCCCGCCATGCGCAGAGGAAGAAGATGGCAGATCTCGTAGGAAGACGATCGCCCTCCCGCTTTCTCTCATGCAGATTGAGCCCGCCATCTTATACTTAGGCTTCCCTCTGTCACACAATCCACCTCCGTCTGTCAGCCGATCCACCAGCTCCTCTTCCAGGGTGATTCAGAAGATAGCTTAATTTGCCTTCAAACGAAAGCGAAGGTAAGTGGTAGAGAGAGCGAGAAACTCCTACATTTCTCCCTCTCCTCTCCCTCGAATCCTGGCTTCCTCCCTCACCTCTACTTTGATCAATATCCGCATAGCTGGCATATGTTCCTGTGCGCCAAACAGAGTTTGTGTACAACAATTGAGTGAGCAGCCATTGGAGGGAACGATGTCATGCCACGGAGACGGAGAGGTTGGCTTGGGGGAAAGGGGGGGGAAGGGGGGGCATTGGGGGGTGAGAGAGGGCCAAAAAGACTAGACGAACTAGATGACCTGTTGTTGCTGTGTGTAATGACCCACAAAGTTGCAGTCCGAGAACTCTGAACGTTTCTGACAAAAAAATGCTGTCCGGTTGTCCCGTTGATCATTTTTCTAAAGATTCCGATTTTGAGTTTGTTTGCTATGTTTCCTACGAACATGTTTATGATCAACCATTTTGTATGTATGCCATGTGCTTACTTGTTGAGTACTGGCATAGGGCAAGCTTCTACATATTTATCTATAAGATCTCGTTTTGAAGTTCTATTACCTACCAAACCAGCTAATCTTAAAGGATGCGTGCGAGCTTTTTCTCGCACTGAGGCAGCAATCCTATTTGCGGCAAATAGTGCGTCAAATCCATTGTCAGTAATTATTATGCAATAATCTGCGTAATTAAGTGGTGCTGCAAATCCTCCGCATACTACATCACCTAATACATCAAATAATATTACATCGTATTCATAAAAAGCAYTTAGTTCTTTTAGTAACTTGACTGTCTCTCCTACTACGTATCCTCCGCATCCAGCGCCAGCTACTCCGTCTCTCTGTGTGTACAAGTGCATGTGTGTGTGTGGATGACTCTCAATTTGGTGGGACCAGATTGTGTGATTGATGATTAGCCAGGGGATTTGTCTATAACAGTTCAGGTCTTGTGATGTATGAATGAAGTGGTCAGCATCCAATCTGCTTGGCAGTTGCTGTTGCGAGGGGGAGTTGTTGAGTTGCTGGAAGTAGCGTTGTCACGTGAGCCTTAATGCTACCAGTAGGCGTGCATTTTGGAGCATTTACTGGAAGGCAAAAGCCAAAACAAATACGAAACCGAGCAGCGTATGTCAAAATCACATAATGGACAGCGTGGGAAACTCTCCCTCGGTTTTCCTGTCCGCTAAAATCCCTTGAAGAAGGTCACTGTGCTGCTCAGCTAAGAAACGAGGTGAATCCCTTTTTTTTTTCCCCTTTTCCCTCTTGGAACAACGTGAATCCTAGTAAGCTTTAACATCAGGAAAACAACGAAATGTATGCACGGGTGGGCATTGTTTCTACTCGATCCGACGACTGTTGCCACCGTACCACAGCAATGGTCGTTTGTTTGAGAAACAAACATAGCTGAACAAAGCACAGGATCCTCTGTGAGAAAGAACGGTATTTGAGACGAAGAATTAAACCCCTCCTAAACCCTAATAACGACATACCACAAACACATAAGTAAGTCAAAACCCCGGACACCATAAACACTGCGGACCTTGGTGACAAAGACTTAACCCCCTCCTGCTCCTCTTCCCCCGGAAAGTCAAGAGTGTACATCTTTTACACACCTATACATCCTTCCATTTGATCCAAGGATCCACGAACAACAGTGATTACTACTCACCAAGAAGAATAGGGACACCGGCCATCTAGTCACTTGGTTTGGCTATTTCTTTCATTGGGTATAGGGCCTTGCCGCACTATTCACCCAAAAAATACAAAGAAGACAAAAAATTACGGCAAGTGCATCTTTCCAGCTTCTACTAGTGAAACATTCATTCTCATTTTGGGCATTCGCCAAGTGCCGTGGCAAGGCCCATGCTCACACTGGGACTTTTTCAACTTACCTGTGGATGTAATTGAGGTTAGGTGCATCCAGGTTGGACTGTAAAAGAGGTCAGATTCATCCAGGAAAGTAAAACAGGAGAGTGCGTAA